GGGGTTAGAGAGAGATAGATAGAAAGAAAAGGTGGTTGGAAATTATTGATGAGAGGGAAGAGAAAGTATTGGGAATTAACGTCAAAAGTACAAAAAAAAAAGGATGAAAAATCAATTATAAAAAATAAATAAAAAAATAAATAAATAAACAAGAGTAAAGTTGTCAAAAAGTACAACCTTCAAATGGAAATAGGCTTTTAATTTTGATTACCCCAAAATGGAATACAGGCTCTTAATAAAAGGATATACCTAAATTTATTTGTTTGTATATTTTCCTAATTAATATTTAAGGCCAAATCAAAAAGCTATTCGGATATGGCTAGCTATGGCACGTGCATCGAGCGCGTTAGCTACCCTATAATACTCCCTCCATTTTTTAAATGCATCACTTGTGATGCGTGGAGTTTTAGGAGAGTAATATAATATTGTGAGTAGACACATAATATATCAATGTAAAAGTAAGATGGAGACCGTGACGAGAAGTTATGTGAGAAAGAGTATATATTTTATTATTTAAGTGGGGACCATAAGAGATAAAGAAATATGATAAAATAATTTAAGTGGGGTTTAAAGTAAGGCCCCGTTCTTTTGGACTGAAATTCGCTACGCTGAATAGAGCTGAAATTTGCTTAATTGAATTGAAATTAACTCACCTGAACTGAAATTTGCGGAAATGAACTGAAACTTGCTGAATTGAACTGAAATATTAACTTCGCTAAACTGAAATAAAATATTAAATTTCATAATAATAATAATAATAATAATAATAATAATAATAATAACGATAATAATAATAATAATAATAATAATAATAATAATAATAATAATAATAGTAATAGTAATAGTAATAGTAATAATAATAATAATAATAATAATAATAATAATAATAATAATATAATAATAATAATAATAATAATAATAATAATAATAAAAGATGTAATAACAATTATTATTATTTATTATTATTAATATTATATTTTTAATTATGATGGTAATAATCTTAACAATAGTGATAATTAATATTTATAATAATAATAATAATAATAATAATAATGAAACAAAAAAAAACACGTAAAAGAAGTTTTTTTTTTTTTTTGGTTGAAAAAGGATGGCTAGCAAGTTTGATATAAGATGATACAACACAAAACAAGTTGGATAGCGAATCGTTCAGAAAGTGCTAATAAAGATAATGATGGCATGGAATTCGATGGTTAGCGAAACAAGCAAGATGTTGAACTCATATTAAATTATCTTCTACTTTAGATATCTACTTCTAGTAGATTTTGATGTAGTAGTACTCATCAATTTGTAACCTACTCCTTAATATAGTATATTTTTTAAATTATATTCCATATTATACGATGCTAATGATTCAATTTGAACAATAAAAACGACTGATAATTAAAATTATTAATGTAAGAATAATATATTACTAATTATTATTATTATTATAATAAAATATATATCTAATACTTAATATAATAATAATTTCAACATAATTAGTTAATTTAATAATGTTAATAATAATAATAATAACAACAACAACTACTATTACTACTACTGCTACTACTACTACTACTACTACTAAATTGAATTGAAACAAACTGAACTGAAATTTATTGATTTGAACAGAAATTTGCATAACTAAATTGAAATTTGCTGAACAAAACTAAAATTTGCTTAACTGAACAAATAAGATCTCCAGAGAAGTCCAAAAGAATAGGGCCTAAGAGAGAGAAATGGCAAAATATAGTATAAAGTTACCAAATATAAAAATAATGCATTTAAAAAAAACACCCATAAAAGAGAAGTGGTGTATTAAAAAAAGTGGAGGTAGTATAAATTAAAACAAGTTAATAAAGAATAAAAATTACAAAGTAGATGAAACTGAATACATAAATTTGTGTAAATAAATCAAATTGGGTGATGGTAGGCAATTGAGTTCGCCTTCTCAACTGCTAGTATTAGTGAGTGAGGGTGATGTAATTATTATTTTGCAACACTGAAATGGACCCTGACCTTCTTTTTTTTCTTTTATACAAAATGACCCTAATGAAAAGTGTATATAAAATTAACTATGGTTAGATATTAAAATAAAAAATTAAAAAAAAAAAAAAAAAAAAAAAAAAAAAAAAAAAAAAAACTAACCTACTTAACCACCACCCCACCACCTCTACCTCCACCGAAACCCTAACCCCACCACCCCACCTTCGTCGCCAAAACCCTAACCCCACAACAAAGGTCTAGGACGTTAGTGGGGGGGGGGAGAAGGAGGGAGGTGTTCGACAGTTTGGGTTTGGGTCTTAGTAGAGGAGAGAAAGAGGGTCGTGGCCTAGGTTGTGGTAGGATTGGAGAAGGAGCGATGGTCGGGTTTGGATTTGGATTTGGGTCCAGGTGGAGTAGAGAGAGGGAGGTCGTGGGTTGTGGTGGGAGGAGCGCAACGGTGGTTAGGGTCAAGTTTGGGTCTGAGCGAAGGAGAGAGAACGGGATGGTCGTGGGTTATGGTGGGAAAAGGAGCGGTTGTCGAGGTTGGGTCAAGGTCTTGGTCTGGTGGACGGTGTCGAGTTGCGGTGAGGTGGTGGTGGCGGCTAAGTGAGGGTGAAGCTGAAGGTGGTGGCGGTGGTTGGGTGAGGTTGAGGTTGAGGTTAAGGTTGGGTGGTATTTTTTTTAATTTGAATTTTCATTTATTTTTAATTTGTTTTCTTTTTTAACCAAAAAACAGTGGTTAATGTCATGGGATATATTTCATAATTAGAGTCATTTTGTTTTATTAGAAAAAAAAAAAAAAAAAAAAGAGGGTTACCATTTCAATGTTGCACTAATAGGGGTCATCATTGAGAATTTCCCTTATTATTATTTAAATTGAACCAAATTAGATCATTACAAAAAATATGAGTAATTTTAGAATCTTGGTAACAACAAAGGAAGTATGGAGCATCATGATCATAACCCTTATACTTCACATATATATAAAGATGAGTTTTTCCCGAGATTTTAGAGCACCACATAGAAAACTATTGATTTTTTTTTCAATGAAAAAAAGGATTTGCAATTTCTTTTAAAAATAAAAAAATTCAATCGCTACATTAGCCAAATATTCGACAAACGAGATTCATAAGAAATGTACAAAATCCTATACTCCTCCGTTTTTTGTTTTAAGTGCCCCACTCCCAAAAGGGACCCTTTTTTATTTAAGTTCCCCATTTTCAAATTTTAAAACCCTATTCACATTATATTTGTATTTTTTCTCTCTATTTCTTTTGACCTCATTATCATTTTATAATATTTCTCCCTCTCACATTATACCTAGACCTGACAAACGGATTGTTCAAGTCGGGTTTGGTTGGGTCGCTTTCGAGTCAGCAAATATTCGGGTTAGGTTCGGGTCGTTTCGGGTCAACGATTTGGGTTGAGTCAAGTTTGAGTTGCGTCAGTTGGGGTCGTGTCAGTTCGGGTTGGGTCAATTCGGGTTGAGTCAATTTTCAAGACTAGTTTTCGGGTCAAGTTTGGATCGGATTATTTCGGGTCGGGTCTGTTCAAGTAAGGTCAAGTTCGGGTCGGATCGCCAAAAATATATTCACTGGGAAAATTCTCTCTTATTTCAATAATAGTAGTAACTTTTATATAATGATTAAAAACTAAAGTAATTTTTTGTAAAAAGAAACACCCAAAAAAAACAACACGTGAGTACCTATCAGGTCACTTTGGGTCGGGTTATTTCGAGTTGGATCACTTTGGTCGGGTTATTTCGGGTCGTGTTGTTTCGGGTCACTTCGAGTCGGGTTAACTTCGAGTTTCGGGTCAATTTCGGGTTGAGTCATTCGGGTCGGATCATTTTGGGAATCGGGTCACGTTCGGGTCAACTCCACTTCGGGTCGTGTTAGTTCGGGGTCGGGTCATACGAGTAGGGTCAGGATTGTCAGGTCTAAATATACCTAGTGGTCCTCCATTCCTATTTCTCTCTCTTACTTTTCCAAATTTTTTATTCATAACCATACCCACTTATAACTTCCTCCGTTTCGTAATAATCGCAATATTAAGGTGTGTACAAAGTTTTTGGAAAAATATAGGGTGGGAATCAAAAGATAATTTTTTTTTAGTTCCTCCGTTTTTATTTACTTGACCTATAGCCCTTTGACACGCAATTTGAGGAAGAGATTAAAGAAGATAAACATAAGCTACATAAATAAATTAATACATAAAACCCCAATTTATTCCTATTATTGGTGATTTTAATTTTTTGTATTAAAAATATCTTTTGTCTTCTTTAATTAACTCCTTAAATTGCGTGTCATGGAACTATAGGTCAAGTAAATTGAAATGGAGGAAGTATAGTATAAAGTATAGTTAACGAGAGAGAGAGAGAAACAATAATAATAATAATAATAATAATAAAAAAAAAAAAAAAAATTAATTGAAGTGGGATTGGTAGGAGAGATACTTGTGAAAGTAGTGTTAGTGAAGAAAGAAAGTAAAATAATAGTGGAACCACACCAAATAAGGAAATGTTGCAATTATTATAAAACAAACATAAAAGCAAAGTGTTATGATTATTACGAAACAGAGGGAGTACGACTCTATTCTTATGCCTAAAACTCCGCGCATAATTCAATGGGGCACTTAAAAAAACGGAGGGGGTATTAAATAAATGGATTACAATTTAATTTAGAATTAAAATATTTAATTGCCTGTTTAAAAAAAGAAATATTCAAATTTCGAATGAAAGTTTAAATTTGTCAAATTATAAAAATAATTGTTTATCAATAAATCTAAGTAAAAAAATAATTTACAACTTTGAATTTATTATACAATGAAATGAGATTGTAAATTAAAATTAATCAAATTATTAAAAAAAAGAAGAAAAAAAAGCTAGCTATAGCTTTAAGAATTCATGAAAATTGATTTTGTAGGTAATTAACTAATGTGATTAAAAAAAAAATCACGATGATCCGTAAATCATAATAATTAAAATTGTGCATCACACGTGTTTAAATATAGAATGAGTAATTTTAGAATATTAGTGAATAAAAATCAAAGGGAGTATGGAGCATTTTGATCACAACTAGGGCTGGCAAAAACTGACCCGACCCGAAAACCCGACCCGAACCCGATCCGAAAAAAGCGGGTTAGGGTTGAGGTTTCCGACCCGAAAACTTAAATGGGTCGACACGAACCCGAACCTGAAATTAAATGGGTTAGCTTAAGGTTGAAAATCTCAACCCGAAAACGACCCACTTAACCCGAAATAAATTTCAGGTCAAAATCAGGTCGGGTCAACCCGAACCCGACCTGATAACCCGAACTAATTTAAGTAAGAAAAAGAAAAAAAACGTAAAAAGCTTATTAAGCCCAGCCCAAATTCACAAAGAGGCTTCCATATATAAATTCAATACCCTAAATGAACTCATTTCCCCTCATTGATCTTCAGCCGTTTTTCCCCTCAATTCTCTCTCTTTAATTTTCTCTCTCCTCAAAAACTCATTGTTGAATTCGACAGAGGTAGTTCCGTTAAGCCCAACTTTACCATTGTCATTTCCTTGACGGCTTGAATCCTTCACTCCTCCACGAATTCCTCTCCTTCATCAAAGGTGATTCGGGGATTTTGCTCCCACCAATCGGAATACGCCACGTGGGCCAATCAGGTCTTGCCAAGTGTCCTCCAGTTGGAACTGTCAGGGTTTGCCACGTGGCACACGCCTATTTGTCCACCCTGGACCTATTATGTAATGACACGTGGAATCCTCCATGCCTAATGGAAAAACCGGCCACCTAGGCCCAACTTCCAAGGGAAGCCCAATCAGCCCTAGGTTAACCTAAACCTAGGATTGGCACATTTCCCAAGGTTATAAATACCTCCATTAATCCTCATCAAAGGGGATTACGCACATTTAACACTCTCACCTAGAGAGACCCAATCACTTTTATTTTCCGCATTAATTACTCCTTAATCAAGTACTAACTTGACCGTCGGAGGCGGATCTCCAATCGTCCGGAGCATCCGTTTGTTTTGCAGGTACAGGCGTCCGGTTCCAGTCTCGGAATTGTAACTCTCCCGCAGGACATCAGAAAACCCCGAAAAATTTTGGCGCCGTCTGTGGGGAGAGTACTTTTGAGATGGCATCCACGTCTGTACCGACTCCTGAAGAGAGGCGTCCCCTAGACGACCCTCAAGTTCAGTCGGACCATGATACTGAGGAAGAATTTGAAGTTGAAGCTCACACAGCTTCAGACGGGACCCTAAGGGCCCGACGCACCCGTCATACCGAAAGGAGGGAACGGGAACATCTTCAAACTGGACTCAGTGATCCAGCCGGCGCACCGCCTGTTCAGCAGCAGCCGGCGATGGGTCTGCTCCCATTACAAGAAACGAACTCATGACCTTCATGAGGGGCTTTAAGGGAGAGATTCAAGAGTTGCTCAACAAGAAGCCACCTGCTCTGGCCAAGGAGCAATCGGCTAAGAAACCTTCCTCTTCAGGGAGGAGGAAGCCTGTTCAAGGGCGAGAGGCGACCCCTCATCCTAATTCTAGGAAGTGGGAGCCGCCTGTCCTTGATTTCACAAAGTACCGTTTTCCTACTCCAGGAAAGAGGAAACCTGTTCGTCATATTCAGGCGGACGGGTCGAATAAAACATACACAGATGCTCGGCTATTGCTAGAGCAGAAAAAGAATGACCGATTGTCAGAGTCGGCCTCTACTTCAGACTTCCAAGACAGTCTACGCAATACCTCGATGAGGCATACTCAGTCGCATCATGAGAGTCAGTCAGGCGGTACTTCCCGTCAGTCCGGCTTTCATAGTGACCAGGCGGTACCAAACTTACCATTTGTACCACAACAACAATATTTTTTGCAGCCACCTCTGTTTGGTGGGCATGCAGCAAAAAAGTCCAACCTATGGACTGGCACCTACGGTTGCTTAGACTTGGGGAACAGCCGTCGGCCTTCTCCAAGGAAATTGTTGAAGCCGCTCAGCCGACCAAAGTGAAAAATGTATTAGTAGGCGCTTATGACGGCACTACTAACCCAGAAGACCATTTGATGGCATTCACCAACCTGATGTACCTTCAAGGGTTGGATGATCCCACTTGGTGCAAGTGTTTTCCAGCGACTCTCAAAGGAATCGCACAACAATGGTTCGGCAACCTGCCGACTGGTTGTGTGAATAACTTCAGGACGCTTGCTTACTTATTCACCTCCAACTTTGCCATGAACATACCTGTGAAGAAGACGACCCTTGATTTAGGAACGATTCATCAGGGCGAGAAGGAGGGGCTTCGTTCTTACATCAGGCGGTTTAACCTGATGAGAATACAGATTCAAGGGTTACCGGATGAGGTAGCCTATACTGACTTTTTCAGAGGCCTCAAAGACGGATCGACATTCAAATTTGATTTGGTCCGAAAGAGGGTGGCGACTCTTCAAGAGGCCTTGGTTGAAGCGGAAGCCTATATACAGGCGACTGATCTTTGTAGTACAGGAAAACAGTCGGACGGGAAAAGGTTCGACAAAAAAGAAGGACGACAGAAACAGTCGTCGAATAAAGATGAGAAGAAGAGAAAAGAGGTCTAGGCGACTGATTCCTCTAAACAGCCGGCCCAAAAGAAGAGGAAAGAATTCAAACCATACTCCCCAAAGTATGCGTTTAACAAGGATAGCCAAGCTATCCTAAAGGAAATCAAGGGACGGATCTCAATTGAGAAGCCGGCCCCCATGAAGGGTTCTGCAAGCAACCGGAACCAAGAAAAATTCTGTGATTATCATGAAGATGTTGGTCATCACACCAACGAATGCATCAGTCTCATGCGGTATCTGGACCGCCTGGCTGAGCAAGGCGATCTTGACTCTTATGTCAAGAAATCTGCGGGGAACACTTCCTCGAAAAAGCAGTCGGCCAAAAAGAGTCAACAGGCCGACAGCTATGATACAGATGATGCATTCGTCTACACCATTACAGGCGGCTTCTCAGGAGGCGGCCCCACTATTAGGGGCAACAAAGACAATATCAGGCGGCTAGACGTAAATTCCGTTCACCAAGAACGGCCCTCCAAATATTCATTTCCTGAGGTTGTCATCACTAAAGAAGATCTAGGAGGGGTAAGGGGGCCGCATGACGACCCTATCGTTATTGAATGTAAAGTGGCCAACCAGAGAGTTGGTCGAATCCTTATAGATACCGGAAGCTCCTCAGATCTTATCAGTAGCAAATGTCTATCAAAACTAAAATATCAGACTGATTGCATACATCCGGCATCCCACCCTTTAGTAGGGTTTGGAGGAGGAGTCGTCCACCCAGTGGGACTAGTGGATTTACCCATCCGCCTGGGTGAAAAAGGGGAAGGACGACACATGGTAGTCCGGTTCATGGTAGTAGAAGAACTCTCGGCCTACAACATGATTCTGGGACGACCAACCCTGAATAATTCCAAGGCTGTTATAATCCCATCTCTTATGTTGCTCAAGTTTGAGAGGGATAATGGAACAGTCGGGTCCCTAAGGGGAGATCAGAGGATGGCCCGAGAGTGCTATCTCTCGGATATCAAGCCCACTGTTATGGCAGCTGGGTCAAGTGGGGGAAAAACAGACCTTGACAATGTCAAGGAGAGTGCGCCTGTTCAAGAAGCAGGCGGAAAGAAGAGAAAGGCAGCCCAGGCGGGGGCCGCAAGAAAAGACAGAAAATAGCAATCATTGGCAGAGGTGCGGTCGGATGAATTCCGCCCTCAGCCGGCTGGTGAGCATACGGACCTGATCTTAGACGACTCACGCCCTGAGCGAATAGTCAAAGTTGGGACGACTGCTCTGGAGTCCTGGGTGACGACTTTCACAAACTATTGAAAGAATACAAGGACATCTTTGCATTCGAAGTCCACGAAATGCCAGGCATTAGTCCTGGCCTGGCGGTACATAAACTGGCTGTGGATCCGAAAAAGAAGCCGGTAAGGCAGAAAAAGCGGAACCATGGCGAAGAAAGAAGTCAGGCGGCAGCCGCCGAAGTTAAAAAATTACTTGATGCAGGGTTCATTCGGCAATGTTACTTCCCAGACTGGGTTGCAAATGTGGTGCTTATTAAAAAGCCGAATGGCACCTGGCGAATGTGTGTAGAATACAAAGACCTAAACAAGGTGTGCCCCAAAGACAGTTATCCTCTGCCTAAAATTGATAACCTGGTCGACTCAACAGCCGGCCATGCTTTGATGAGTTTTATGGACGCCTACTCTGGTTTCCATCAAATTCCTTTTTGGAAGAAAGATCAGGAGAAGACGGCCTTCGTCACTGATCAAGGGTTATACTGTTACACGGTCATGCCGTTTGGTCTTAAGAATGCCCCGGCCACCTTCCAGCGAATGATAAACACTGTGTTCTTTGATCAGATTGGGAGAAACGTCGAGGCATACATTGATGATATGATTGTCAAGTCTAAGTTTCAGATAGATCATCTGTCGGACCTCCGAGAAACTTTCGCCACACTCAGGCGGCACCATGTCATGCTCAATCCCAAGAAATGTGTATTTGGAGTTGAGTCTGGGAAATTTCTCGGATTCCTTATCAATCAGAGAGGAATAGAGGCGAACCCTGAGAAGGTGCAGGCGGTCATCGACATGCAGTCGCCTCGTACCGTCCGAGAGGTTCAGAAGTTAACAGGTTGTCTGGCGGCCTTGGGAAGATTTCTAAGCCGATCAGGCGACAAATGCTTATACTTCTTCCAGGCCATTAAGAAGAAGGCAAGGTTTGAATGGGGGCCGGATGCTGAGGCGGCCTTCCAGAAATTGAAAGTTCACTTGCATTCCTTGCCGAGGCTGGTCAGCCCTTTGCCCAAAGAAGTACTCTACATGTATCTGGCCGTCTCTGATCATGCGTTAAGCGCTGTACTTCTTGCTGAAAGAGACGGCTGTCAGCTACCGGTCTACTTTGTCAGTCATGTACTGAAAAATGCCGAGTTGAGGTATCCCTTAGCGGAAAAATTTGGTCTTGCACTCTTCATGGCTGTTAAAAAATTGAAGCCCTACTTTTTGGCACATGCAGTCGTCGTGTATACAGATCAACCTATCAAGCGGCCACTGACCACCATGGAGTCGTCAGGCCGGATGATCAAATGGGCCATAGAAATACAGAGCCTTGAAGTTACTTTCGAGCCTAGAAAAGCAGTGAAGGGGCAAGCCTTTGCTGACTTTATTGTTGAGATGAATCGTCCGCCTGATTCTCGAGATCCAGACCAAGTCTGGAAGGTATATGTGGACGGAAGCTCTACTTCAAATGGTTGTGGAGCAGGCGTCATATGTCAGTCGCCAGAGGGCGACAGGTACGAGTATGCTCTACGCTTCAGTTTTCAGGCCTCAAACAATGAGGCAGAATATGAAACTTTACTAGCCGGAATCCGCATGTGCAAGGCGGCAGGGGCGCGAAAGATAGACGCCTGTTCCGATTCACAATTGATAGTGAGTCAGTATAATGGCGAATACGAAGCAACCCATCCGGCCATGATCAAGTATTTACAGGCGGTACGACAAGCAGTTGGATCCCTTGAAGATTTTCATCTAACTCAAGTGCCGAGATCAGAAAACAACCAGCGGATGCACTTTCAAAATTAGC